AACTTACCTCCAGAGTTAACTATTTGATAGATGCTAGGTATGGGCACCTTCATGCTACCTCTAAGTTTTATTCTTCTCTTCATGTTTCCATCCACCTTTCTTTGACTACATTTGCTATTCTTGTCTTTGAGCACGTGGTTCAGACTTATTTTTGTCTGGTTGGTTTTTTCAAATGTGCAACCTGTAACTTGCCTGCCCCGAGTTAATACAATTAAGCGTATTTTTTTTTTACAGCACTTATTTCAATGTGTTTTTGTCCTTTGTTGACTTGGTTGTCAGCCTGATTAGAGTGTGACCCAGGGGGGAGCAGCATGTATCTTCTGCCTCTGTATGGCATTGTGTCGTGCTAAGATGGTAGAGAATGGGGGGAAAGGACAGACGAATGAGCAGATGAGTGAATTATGTATTTGCGTTAAACCACAAATAATGCAAAGTTGAAAAGGGTTTGGGTCAAAATGCTTCTGAGATGCTTCTATACCACATAAATTATCCTTTTCCAGTGACTAATGTGTCAGCTTACTTGATTTGCCATGAATTTAAAAGAGAAATTGAAAAGGTCTGGAATTCTAATGGAACAATTTGTCATGTTTTTTTGCTAACTTTTTTCATCTCAAGACTGTGGAATCTCAAATTTATAATTTAAATCCTATCCATTTAATTAGAGGTGGATTTTCCATGAAACGTGGACTTCTTGAGCATCCCTCTGTGAGAGTTTACATGGTTGTGCGCTGTGTGTATCTTCTCATAAAGGGCATAACCTTACATATTGAGACATAACTGACTTCAACATCCCCAAGGTACCGATGTCCTGTGTCAGCTGGTGGTGCAAGCTATGGGGATTTTTGAAGCCTGTCTAAGGGGAAGTTAAGTCAATGTCACACACTATAAAGGCAGTTTTGAAGGTCATTTTAGAATATTTCAACAAAGTAAAAAATTCTAAGCTTCCGACTTTGTGAATATACATGCTATCTATTCTTTACATCTTCACATTATTTGTAGCAGTGTAAGATAAAAATCAAATAAAAAGAAATGTAATGTGAAGGAAATACAATCAAGTACTTTAAATGACCTCAAAATGAATTATTCCAACATGACAATTACGTTGTATAACAATGGTTCATAATAGTAATTTACTGTAACAGGTGTTTCTTAAGGAAATATTAAGTAGCAATTTATTGCTAGTTATAAGAAGGTGTAGCATTCTGTGAGAAATTTGAAATATATATATATATATATATATATATATATATATATATATATACACACACACATCTGGAAGAAATTGAGAAATATTTCACCAAATTTGATTAGAAAGCTGAAAAATATTGGTTGTCAACAAGAGGTGAGTCAGGAGGACATTCGTCCAGTCACAATAAAATAAATTTGGTGTCATGAGATAAAGGGAAGATTAAACTCTCTCTTTTTTGTCTCTAAGTAATCATGTTGCAAAGTCATTGTGGTGAGAAAGCAAAGACTAGTCAACCAATCAATAAACCAACCAGCCAAACAAACCAACAAACAAACAGAAAAGGAATCTTATAACAAGAATGTACAATTAGGTTTATGTTTTGTTTTATTTTGAGACAGAGTTTTCCTACATAAGCCTGCCTGTCCTGAAACTCACTCTATAGACTAGGCTGCCTTTGAGCCCACAGAGATCTTCCTACCTCTGCCTCCAGATGCTGAGATTAAAGGTGTGTACCTCCACTCCTGGCCTTGCTTAGATCATGTATAAGGCTAGTTAGTATTAACTATCAATATGACAAAATCTAGAATCACCTCTTTAAAAGTCTTAATAAAAAGTTACATAAATGGAGATGGTTTATGGGCATGAAAAGCAGGGACTGTCTTGATTTTTAATTGATGTAAAAAAAAAAAACAAAAACAAAAACAGTCCATTGTGAGTGGCACCATTCATTAGGAAGGGAGTCCTGATCGGCATAAAAAAAGGAGAAAGCTAGTAAAGAGAAACTAAGCAAACTATTATTTTTTTGTCTCTCTTTGCTCTTGACTAAAGTATGATGTGACTATTACTTGAGTTCCTGTCTTCACTTTCCCACAATGATAGAATTGTAAACTAAACAAACCATTCTCTGCTAAGCTGTTTTTTTTTTTTTGCGGGGGGGTTCAGGGGGATTTCATCAAAGCAAGAGAAATGAAAGTAGAACAAAGGATACATTAGACAGGTAATCAAATATTGTATAATTCTCTCAAGATTTGTATTGCATATGGTACTTGTCAGTTTTATAATATTTACAATTTATTTTTATTTCTTTCCCAATGAACCTTGGCTTTTCTATTTGTATGTTGTATTATTGTTCAAAAAGTGTGACCTACAAATCTTAGACCTAGCACTCCTTGTGTAATTATTTTACTCGTCCAGCTTATTTCAGATTTCCAGCATCTGCACCGTCCTGTGTCATCCAATAGCCGTAAACTTGAGAGACTGCGCCACAGTCCGCGGTTAATGCATTGCTCCTTTTCACTTAAGCTTCTGTGGAAATAGCTTCCAATCCTCTTGTAAAGATTTCCACTTTTATTTCCATTGACTAACATTTAGAGGATGGCAATGTTCAAGGAAGTACGAACGAAGTGTGTGTGGGGGGGGGGTGACATTTGGAAATGAGGCTGGTCTGTTCTTAAAACAATGCACAAATTATAGGAAACCACAAATAGTGTTTCAACAGGATGGCCAGTAGCAATAACAAAGCAAAGACCTTACAAAAATCTGCTGTTCCTTCGTTTATCGGCTCCTTTGGCAGAAATGAGTCCCGGGGTGGAAGGACCTAGAAGATATTTTTGCGTGCATCAAGAGTGCAGTGGCTATTGTTTTGGAAGCTTAGTTCTTAATTTGGAAGGTTGATTCACGGGGCTCTGTATAGTAAGTCTGTTTCAAATGGAAGGCTTTGTCTTCAAAGAATAGAACTGTTTTTTATACATTTACTCATGTGCTTTGCAGGTAAAAAAATGACTTAATCATAGTGGGGGAATATAGACACTATTTCTATTTGAAGGGACAACTTGAACTAGATTCTTACTCACACTTCATCTATCATGTTCAAGTTTTTCGTGGTCTCTGTGGATGCTTTCACTGAGTTCCTTTCCTGCTGTTGAGCTGATTTATTCATGTGTCATCCAGAAGACACTGTCTTCTTTTAGTCCTCCCATTTTCTCATGCACCGTTTTCCCAGTGCTGAAACACCACTGTGTTCTAGGACTATTTACTACTCATGATTTTAAATGCTACGTAATGTTTATAACAACTCTATCTGGGTCTTGTTTCCTGAACACTTGGTTTTCATGTACAGCTATCTTTCCAATCCTTCTCCTTTACATGCTAAATAGATAATGTTTTAAAAAAGCAAAACCACTGAGAAACAGTTCTGGAATCGCATCACTTTCCCTGTATCTAAACTGGTTCAAGTCCCGGATGTTTCTGCTTGCCCACAACTGCCAGTCTTTTCGTTTCCAACTGCTCTGTTTTACGTTAGTTATTCCCTACCTCATAACAACCATCCCAAGCTTAGTGCTATGAAGCAACATCATGTGTTATCTCATAGTCTCTGGGGATCTAAATCTGAGTTTATCTAAGCCAAGTACTTGTGGCACAAGTCACACTGAAGGTGTCTGCCAGTTGAGTTTTCAACTGGGAAAATTTCCTTCTAATTTTGCCTTCATGATTGGCAGGTATGTTATTATTCTTGCAGACTGATGGACTGAGGGCCTTTTGTTTCTTATAAGCTCTTAGTTAGAGACGAGATTCAGTTACATGTAGCTGTGTTTTCTCAGAACCAAGTCGGCAAGACAGTAAGAGATATCAATGCCCCTCTAGATAGAAACAGAGGATTGTGCTCCCTGTTCTCAGCTGAGTTCCCATTAGACTTCAGTATTCAGCTGCTTAAGAACAAGTTAACAACTTTAGCATACGCTCAAAGAGATGATACCAACAAACAAAACAAGCATGGATACCAAGAGGTGGGGTCACTGAGGGCTATGTTGTATGCCGCCTCCCATGCTCTTTTATATTAAGATCTTAAAAGATCAACATTACACCACAATAAAGTGCAAATCTAATAATTAATATGGGATTCCCCTCTGTATGCTATGAATGTGTCTTATTACCATCGGTTAATAAAGAAGTTGCTTTGGCCTATAGCAGGGCAGAATATACCCAGGCTGGAAGAGATATACAAAGTAGGCAGAGTCAGAAAGATGCCATGTAGCTGCTGAAGGAGAAAGACTTAGAGCAGAACCTTACCTGGAAAGCCACAGCCTCGTGGTGATACACAGATTCATAGAAATGGGTTAATTTAACATGCAAGAGTTGGTTAATAAGAAGCCTGTGATAATAGGTCAAACAGTGTTGTAATTAATATCGTTTCTGTGTGATTGTCTGGTGGCCGGGAAACAAAAGAGCAGTCTCCCACCACAAGTAATATTTCATACAACGGATGTTCAGAAGCTGTCCCATCTCGCTCAAAACTTGAACAGTCAAAGAGCTCTTCCTGCATGGGAGTAATCTCACCTGGTCCGCTCTCATTATTCCTCTAATTTTATCTTTGCTGCAATACCCTCTTAACATATTTCTGCTTGAGGACATGCCTGTGTCTGAGTACTCATCCCTTGGAGACTCCTCCGCATATTTGCTCCCTTTTTGCACCCCTATGTGCATATTATTTGCATCCAGGGCAAATAGTAGGAGTCACAGGACACGGTGGGGCATCCCACATGCTTTGCGTCTTAATGATAGTGAAAATGGGGACGCTTGTATCCGTTCGTGTCTGTTCAAGACCCTGCATAGAAGAGGAATGCAGCACATTTGTTTGTTTGAGAAAGGCATACTGTCTTGGCTTCTCTTAGAGCTCTTGAATGGAGTTCAATTTCTAAATATGTGAAACTACACATTTTTGCTTGTTTTTGTGCATAACTGTTTTATTTCATCAACTTTTCAAACCTGTGAAGCCAGTTCTTTATTATCATTTCCTTCTTTTACACATTAGAAGTGTGAGGCTCGGAGAAGGAGTGAAGTTTGCACAGTTGAGATCTGGTGATGCCAGCAGAGATATGCGTGTTGTCATCGCAGCGATTATCCTCCGCCTTTCCACTCCGCTCTTTGGAACTCATCAATGGGATGACGTCAGCATTCGGACCTGCTCCACTGATGAAGAAACTTCACTGGGGAACTAGGAACAATATTAACACAATTAAAGAGGCAAATATAAAATTGAATCAGAGTTATCTTATGCCTAATCAAAAAGTACTTAATTCTGACAGAGACAGAGCAGGATTGCTGAAGGAGAATTCAGGATGCACAGTTTAAAGGTTACCTCTGCCCCCACGCAAGCTGTACAACATTGCAGTTTGTCATTGTTCTTAATGAACCCGTGCTCCTTCTCTGTAAAAGAGACATACTTTACAAAAGTGATTATATGCGACAAGAATGAGGAAAAGTTGTCATAAGTTTTATTCCTACAGGAATACAAGGCATGACTTCTGTAACTATGGAAAATTATCATTTTGCTTGAAATGTAAACTGAAAGAAATTTTTAAATGACTGTATGTAAAATCCATCTATGTGAAGTCTACATAGATTGTAAAATGCATTTAATGACTGAGTTGTATAGAAATTATTATTAACTAAATGCAACTTGCATTATTCTATTATAAAGGACACACTAGTTTCTTCATTGAGAACTAAAAAAATATACATCATGGACCCTTCCTCCATAAAAAACTTTTGGGTACAACACATAAAAATACTTAGATATAAACAGTAATCAACATATGAAACTATATTTTTTTATTTTATTAATTAGTTTAGCCAACTCTTAATACATGCATTTTAAAGTCTATCTAGAGTTCCAAAAGATGGCCATCCACTCAAGATTGTGATCTTAGATATCTGAGTCCGTAAACTATTTTGGTTAATGTACTTCCGCAAACACGGGATTCAGGTGCACAGAGAGCACCTGGAACTTTGCTTTTTAACCCATAGTTTAGCAGCCAGCTTTGTCCTAGAGGTAGTATAATTACAGTCTGTCTCAAGCATATTATTTCCTTTTCATAACTCATTTTAAAATGCAAGGTAGACATAATTAATTTACAACTTCAAAAAAACCTACTGTTTTTGGGTTTTTAGACAAGGAAGGTCTCACTGTGGAGCTCAGGCTGGCCTTGAGCTCACCGTGCATCCTTGGTTTTTCTCAGAGTAACGGCATCCTTCATTTTCTTCTCAAGTGCTTGGGTGATAGGCACTGACTATTACATGCTGCTTATACTTTTAGATAACTTTGAAAGATTTATTTTATTTTTAATATACTTGTGTAAATAGGGTGTACATATTGTTTGAAGGTGTGCTTGCCCATGTGATGTACAGACTGGCTGACACAAGCCCCCAGGATCTTTCTGTCTTTGACCCCAGTGCTGAGGTCACACGCATGTGCTTCCACACTGGGCTCTTTATGTGTTGTGATGAATTGTGAGTTTGATTCAACCTAGAGTTACCTTGGAAGAGAGTTTCAATAAAGGATGGTCTACAATGGGTTGGAGTGTGAGTATGTCTATGGGGGGTTATCTTGATTAAATTAATTGATGTAGAAGATCAAGTACATACTAGGGGTCACGATTCCCTAGGAAGGCAGTCCTGAATGATGTGAGTGAAAAAAAATCACTCGAGATGAGTACAAATCTCACAAACAAATGAACATGCATGTGTCTGCTTCCTTCCCCTGCGGATTGGAGTGAGGTGACCAGCTGCTTGAAGTCCCCACCACCTTGATTCTGTGCTATGCTGGATTGTAACCTGGAATTGTGGGCTAAAAGCAAAGTTTTTTCCTCCAAACTGCCCGTTGTCAGGGTAATTCATCACAGCAACAGACATGAAACCAAAACATGTAGATATGGAGGTCAGAATCCAGGTCCTTACTTGACTCAGCAAGAACTTTTGACTCACCAAGTTTTCTCGCTAGCTGTTTAAAGTACTGTTTAAAATATTGTTTAAAGTAATGAATCATTGTTCATACCAAGACCCAGCAAGGAATTAAGGCACAATTTTATTAGGACTGTTCATGATGGTTGCCGTATTCTAAGCATACTAATGCTGAATAAAATTGCTGTGCAGAATCTGTACCCGTTTAGAATGAGCTGTTAGCAGCATAATGATGCTTTGTTTTTGTTGCTGTTTAATTAGGTTATTGTTCATGTGTTTCTTTTCTTTATGACTCTATATTTTTTAATTTTTTCCCATTATATGTCATGCCCCCCCTTGTTTCTGTGTTTTGAATTTGAAGAGTTATGAAGAGCTTCAAAAGCTATCCCAAGAACAACTGAACATTTTTTCTTGCTTTACTCATCTGTATATTGTAAATCATTCTCTATGTAAGTGTACTATTGAAGCCCTAAGGGGCTACCCAGGCAATGTGGACACAGAGGACTGGCTACTGTAGCCAGGATTCCATGAAGTTACTCTGAAAGTCCTCTCGCGGAAACTCCCCGACTGCTCATTTCCCCTGATTCTTTTCTGTCCTCTTCTGTTTCTTAGTAAAAGAGAAGCAGAAAAAAAGGCTTTAATGACCACAGCAGCATGCTGGCACATAGACCTTTTTATAATGACAGCTCCCCCATGATTAGCTAACTTGTAAGTATTTAAAAGGCAGAACATGAATTTCTGATAAAATAATTAGTGACAATATACAGTAAATATTTTCTGCAGGATTTCTTAGCAAGATATGAATGGCCCCTAGCTTCTGATTCAGCTTTTGCTGGCAACTCAAACTTAGTTGAAAATAACTTTGAAAGAACATTGAGATCAAAGAGCTCATGATTCACAAGCAGGAGCAAAGAGATTTTAACCAAACAGATTAGATCTTCAGAGATGTCTGTGTTCTGGCATTATAGGAGGCACACAGAAGCTGTAACTAAAAGGAAGAAAAAGAAACCAAGTTTCTAAAGGAAAGTGAAGGCACAGACAAGTGAAAAACCAGAAAGCAATGCAAGCTACCTTGGTCACCCACAGAATCCACAGCATGTCAAATGGCCACAATGACATATTTGGTTTAAGAAAGCAATGGAATCAACTTACTAATCTGAGAAGTATGCACTAGGTGATTCCTGTGTGGCAGAAACTAGGGATGTGGAAATGTGGAAGTAAGCACACCATATAAAAATTCCTATCATCCTTGAGAGGGGTAAGCTACTGAAGAAAACAGACCAAATGCACAAATGAAATAACGAGACACACAAATTTGGTAAGTGGAAACATACTAAGACAGTAAGGGCCGTGGTTGTGATCATGTCTGTTGGCTTCTTAGTCTCAGTTGTTGCCATGCTGAAGGAATTGTAGGGCTTGGGTAAAAAGAAGCAGGACTCTCAGCTGGGGTCACTATTGTGGTGGGCTTAGTAAGAGACAGTAGAGGCATATCATCAAATGGTAGCAGGAAGGGAGAGAAAAGTGGTGAGATCCAGGATGGAGAAGACTTTCTAGTGAGCCTGTGTGTGAGACAGAAGTCAGTAATGTCCTCAGCAACTGGAGTTGGAGAGACAAAAGAAAGGACGCCGTGAGAACACAGAAGAGTTTGGTGATGACAATTGATATTTGAACTCGCTATTAGGATACAAGCAGAGGTGACTTGGAGACGTCTGGCTACAAATAAAACAGTCATTTTGAGTGTTGGGTGAAAATAAAGCATGCAAATAAGAATGAACGTGAACTCAGACCAAGCACTGAAATGGGAAGTGCTTCACACAGTCATGAGATTGCAGTGTGGTTAACAAGCGTTTACTGGTTTTCTGCTGTTCTTAAAACATTCTCTTGAGCAGTAGTAGAAGACACAGGGAATCTTGTAGGGGACACACCTGTAAACAATTGTAGTGGTACATATGGTAAGATGTGGTTTACGATAACAGGAAGACAGAATCCAAAAGGACCTCCTAAGGTATGATAGGAACAAGCCAGAGAGCTAGGTAGGTGAAAGACCAGGTTCTTGCAAATGCAGTCACTTTAATGCCTGGGAGCATGCTTCAGGGAGGACAGGTGGACTGGTAAGCTGGCCAAGCTGGACCTGAGGATGTGCAGTTTGAGAGAAATCAGGAGGACAGGACTGAGCGCAAACAATTGCGCTATGGTGTCAGATGACGACTTCAGAGTTAATATTTGAATATCATTTGTATTTAAAGATAACTTTATGATTCAGAAAACATTGGGCTACAATTAGATCATTGTTTCAGAATATTTATGGATAAAAGCAAGGTACTGTGTGGAATACGTTGGACATAGTGGCTTGATCTCACTTGGATGGCTGATAACAAAGACTGTGGATAATAAACGGGACATTCTTCATCTTTATCTGACCCAGAAACAGGAAAGACAGGAGATAAGTTTTCAGCTGCAAGTAGCAATAAAGCCATGAGGTTTGCGTGAGTAAAAGAGTCATGAAGGAAGTCACAGTAACACGATAAAGTATGTGTGGTGTTGAGAACAGAGGAGACAAAGAAATCTTCTGCAACAGGGAAATCCCAGTCCTCTGAAATGGGATGGAGAGAAAATATTTGAGGGGATCAAGGTGAGCAGAAATCAAACTTGCTATCATCCACCTCCCCTGTCATGGTTTAACAACATTACATAAAAGACAGATATCTCAATGAAGCACAACAACAGAGCATTCTTGAGAGAATATCAAATAAGGGAGAATAGAACACATTCAATATTCTTAAATCTATTGACGGAACCTTTTAAGGTGTGGTGCTTGCACTTTGCAGCTGCCCTCTTACCTTTCTGTTTCTTTGTGTCAGATAAATATTGGATGCAATTATATTTAGATAGGAATAGATTCAATTTGGCACTGACAGCTGTTCTTTCAAATTGTCGGTCTTTGTTTGTCCTCAGATCTTTTGTATATAAAATTATCAACTTGGTGATCATTTATGGCCCCTTGAGAATAGAAGTTATTAAAGGACCACACACTTTGAAAACACACATTGTCATGAGAACCCCTCAGCCATGGGTGGAGTATGTTATTTTGGATAAAAGGGCCACATTAGAATATTCTCTCCCCCCTCCCCGCAAGCTGTTCTTTATTGAGACTCATTCAGTTAGGGAAGAAATGGAAAAAGAAGAGAGGAAATGCAGAAAGAAAGATACATAAGAGTGAAGGAAGTACCATAGGGAAAGTGATGATGGAGAGTGGTACTTAGAGGGAGGAATGTGGACAAGTCACAAGAGGACTTTTTGAGTGTTTGCATGTGAAAACATTCCGATGATAGTTGTTGGAGTGAAAAGTAAGAAAGTGCATGCTGTTTCTAATGAGATAGTTCAGAGAAAAAGAGAGAGAGAGAGAGAGGACACACACACACACAGAGATATTATTACAAGTTATTTCCCCATAGCTTCTGATGAACATATGTGCATTCAGATCTATTCTTTTCAGAAAGACTTGAGTGCACAACAACAGAGCAACATTATGGGAGAAATGCTTGCTATTCTGCTAAGGAATTCGCCTTGGACAATTTTAACAAGCACAGTCAGTGTGCAGAAACACTATGGGCTCCCTGCATTCATTCTCTCCAACGACCCTTTTGTAGCAACCCTTGTGTGACCAGAGTCCTACTGCAATGGTGGTATGTTTTCTGTATTTCTCCTCTCTCCCTTTGGCTAGCTTGTTCGACACAATGTGTTCAAATTCTGTGTGTTGTTAAATCAATCAGGGTCCTTGAAGGGAAGAAAATTCAGGCTAGATTCCAACTAATTTATCTCAATGAAGGGCCCAATCTTGGATGTACAGACGTGTTGAGCTGTCTGGTTAACTTCAGAAAGGCAATTAACTGGGTCAAATACATTTCTTTTTGTATTTGTTCCATTACAAATTTTTTTTCAAGGAAATTTTTTTCTAAGAAGTCAAACATCAGTGGAAATTAACTTTATTATGAAAACTTCTATCATCAATATTTTACTAGGACGAGGGAGTTCCCATGAGAGAGAGAGAATTCTTTCCCAGATGTTCTCAGAATATGTTCGTGGTAATTCTATAATGAAGCTAAGGTCTGTCAGAGGCTTAACTGTACGAAAACCGATGTTGTGGTAGAGAAAGCATCGTGCTCTCTAATCCCAGGAATTTTGTTCTCACTGTTCATCATCCAGCAGTGTTTTCTAACAACAGCGTAACAAGGAATGGCAGGATGGTGGGAGTTTCTAGAAGGTGATGGGACCATGAGACATCATTTCTTTGTTATTTTGTCAAAAGGATTACCACTAAGCAAATTAAATGACTAAATAATTTTTATTTATACTTTTGGTCAATACCACTGTTCAAAGCCACTAAATTTGGGAATAATTTGTTATGTAGTACTGGTGGTTTTAGCTTTATTGTGACATAATAAAATTCATCAGTGGTATGGGCATGTGTTTTTCAAAGGCATAACTAATACAAGCATTCCTCATTGAATTGGAACACTGTTACCACCCCACCAATTTCCTTCAGCCCTATCCCCTAGACCAGAGTAACTATCACTCATGAAGTTTTTGCTTAAGCAAATTTGTATAGATTACTATAACCTGAAGATGAGGACTAGAAAAGTTCACTTATATAGTGATTTTGCCATGATTAGAGTCTAGAAGGCTAGTGTGTTTTTCTTTCCATTCATTCTCTAATTACTATGTTAAGCAATTTTATCCCATTGGTTTTCTTCTTTCCCATGAATTGAAGACTGAAAATAAAACATCTGAGTTCTCAGCTGTAATCAAAGAGAGTGACAGCAACCCACAAAGGTCTACTCGACAGTTTTGATCCAAGCCTGCAGTCCTTTGGGCAATGAAATGAATAAATGGAAAATAACGGTGTATTTCACAAGAGTAGCATTTCCTAGGGATTCCCATCATCATTCTTCCACTTCTGATTATTCTGATATTTAAAAAAATAATGTTGAACATAATTTCTGGGTAATAATAGGCAATGACATTATCACTGGGATTATGAA